GAAATCAGTGGTTAAGTTGTATTTACAACACTATTACAGAACAGTACAACCCAAATATTCGGATGTGTGCAGCACATTTTATGGAGGACCATTTCCTGATCCTGGAAACGCATTGTACACTACAATGCTGGCTGTTCTGACTCACAGACTGCAATTACGTCCTTTATATTTAAAGAGTTTTTATATTTTATATATTAAATTTTTTGGGCAGTGTAGAGTAGGGCTTGTTGTTTGTCGTTTCTCCGACAACAAATGCAGACATGGTTTTATGTTTACGCGGCGCGATGCAACGCAACGCGTAAAAAGACAGTATAAGTCATTATAATCCATAATTATGTCCCCACTGGATGCAACAAATGCCTCGTTTATAATGGGTTTTCATGTTTTTGAATCATCGCTCCGGCCTGACAGGGCATCATCATAGTATGGTAAGGGGCGTAACATTTCCGTCTCACGCTTGAGGTATTCAGCCAATCACAACGTACTGGATAGCTGGCCAATCACAGCACACCTCGCTTTTTCAGACCGATGAGCTTTGTAAAAATCTACGCATTTCAGAAGGCGGGGCATAGAGGAGAAACAATAATGTACAGTATGTGGAAAATAATGTGTTTTTTTACCTTAAACCGCATAAACATTTCATTACACCAAATACACAAAATACTGTTCTTTTTAGCAACATCATATGACCCCTTTAAAACACATCAGTCCCTTATTATTCTATTTTGATTTATTGATTAAATGCAAGAATTCAAAAACAACAACAAAAATGTATCTGAAATTTTTAATAAAGTTGAAAAAAAATGCCCTTATAAAAGGCAAAAAATCATGAAGAAACTGAAGTAGCGACAGACGTTTTGCTCCGCATTGTGAGGCACATTCCAGTGTAACAAATTATTGAGGGAAAAAAATTTAATTAAATAACTTGTCTACAACTTGGTTCTATCTATTAGTTGTTGATTGGATTTAGAGATTTGGATGCTGCACTCAAATACAGAGGCAGATGGAAACAAGCTTGTCATAGTGGGTTTAAGCAGGCTAAATGATCGGAGAAGTCCTGCATACGTTTTTTTTTATTATTAAAAATTATACGGATAAACCATTCACAATAATATGCATTTAGAAAGTAGTTTGTAAACTACCGTTTTAAAAATTCAGAAAATACCTTCATCCTCCTCTGGGGTCTTCCCTTTTCCACCTTCTTTCTTTTCATGTCTTCTGTTGGATGTGCTGAAATAGTGAGTAGTGTCTGACAGATGTGAAAACATATTTGCATTATGCCATGCAACATAATTCAGAAAAAGCATTAAGATTCAAAAATCAAAAGTTCTGCAGTCTCTGTCCAGCCAAAACAAAAAATGTAATTACTTACTAAATTTCATACTTACCTAATAGTTTCCAAAGTTTCACAGGATTTGTGACCAATTTGTGGCGACAATGGAATTCAAGTCCAATAAGCCTCGGGATTAAAGGCTTTGTCAAAATGTTCTGCGAAACAATGGCAACTTGGTTAACCACCCAAGTAACATTAAGGTCATGCTCATGCATAATCATAGATTACATGCTATTATTATGATCCATCTGCTCTGTTTTCTCAAGCAAAACAGACTTGACTTATCAAAGATAACGCACTAATTTTATTATATTAAAAAATATTCTGTTCTACATTACATTAAAACTGTATGTTCTATATAAACCGTATACATCAGCATCGGACATTATGTGCAAGCTGTCCCACATATACTTAACATCACTCTTCATAGGATAGCATACATTCGTAGCATAAATAGTTTACATAATGCTTGGTCGACGTTTAAATAACCCACCTGAATGTGTCCTGATTTTAGACCTCGTTTGTTTGGAGTCACTAAAGGCAAGTATGAAGTCACATTGCTCTCCAGGAGTTTTCTGCAGGTTTGAAAACAGCTGAAACGAGACGATAGCGACCAAACCCGTTTGTCGTAACATTTGCTTCCTCGCTGCCAAAGCAGCGCTGCCATACTAAATGCTGGTTTATCGCGTCGCTTGGATCAAAAACATACTAAACCAAACGGCAGTCTTTAATGTGACCTCCCTAAGAGGTGCTATCACGCAGCTGTCATTGTGATTCTGCAAGTCTTATCCAACACAGCCAAAAAATATAGCTGCTGTCAAACAACAAGCGCGTCTCCTGCTCGAATATATCACAAACATACAGAACAAATAAAACGCTTAAATACAAAAGGGTCTTAAATTATACAACTACAAGGCCATTACAAAGCTGTACTGACTACTAAAGCCGTGAACTTTAATTATGTTTACCGTGCGGGCTTGAAAAACATGTCTGTTCAACTTTCACCTTCGGAATCAGCCAATCAGAACGGAAACAGCTCGAGTACGGGCTGACGGGAAATGTAGTTCTACTTTTATACGTTTATGAACCCAGAAAAACTACAAACAGTTCTAGTTGGGCATGCGCAAAGACGACTGTAATCTGATGTTTAAAACGTAGTTATAGTGGAAAAATAAATATAATCTAGTTATAGCGCAGAAATATAGCTAAAATAAATCATTAGTCATTATTAAGGTATATTTAGTCATGTTGATAGTCATGTCGCACTAGTCTAGATTTGACACGTCTGCCATTCTTATTTGCACTTGCAGGTATGGGCATGTGTGCTTTCAGATGTCTTTTATGTTAGGATACGAAGTGAGGGCAGAACACTTGAGTATAATTATATCAAGACGGTCGAGGATATATCTCAGACAGCAGGTTTCGGCTCTTTTCAATAGAGGGAGCCATTGCGTTATTCTGATCGCAAGAAATCGGTGTCACGGTCCCTGAGGCTTGTGACGTCAAATCGAAAATAAAACAAAAACCAACACATCTAATATACATTTACCGGACAACAGTCAAAGAAAGCAAATCGTGCTGTGGCTGATGATCTCGCAGTCCGTCACCGGCAAACAGTTTATAATACTTACTTATAAAGTATGCTGTAGATAGCAAAAAAACGCAGTTTCAGATCAGTCTGAATTAAAACGGGATGAGGAAAAACAATTCCGGCAACACTGTTCACTCGTTACTTAAAAAAAACAAAAAAGCAAACAACTTTACTACATATACCCAAGCAGGCTCTCCATTTTCCTCTCACCCAAATGGAGCTCGCAAAAACATGCCACTGTCTCCGCCATTACGGCTCGAGGTCGCCATAGAAAACAACGTTGGAAGCGTCCCTGGCAAGAACCACAATGGCGCCAGTTGCACCGTTGCAACGGGGAACAAACAGTGACCGCCCATTCGCGTCAGCCTATCACAGTCCGCGTATCAACGCTTCGCGTCCGCTCCTAGTCAGCGCGAGTCAAAGGCCGATCGAAACGGTTCGAAAGGAGTCGGACGTAGAGGATTAACTTGAAGCGGAATTTTATTTTTACACTTCAAATCAAGCCAAATCAGCAAAGCTAACGTCACTGAGACCCGTGGACTTTTTAAAGGGACGGATGGAGAGTTTATAACACCTTCTCTTACCAGTTTACCGGAGCCCTGAGAGATTTTAATCATCGCATTTTTGGAGGAGGTAATCAGTGATTATCTTAGCACGCTGGCGCGAGCGCGGACTGGAGTGAGCCTCGCGCGCCTCGGATGTTCCCGCATCGGAGCTCGCTGAAGCAGAAGGCCTCAAATGGGAAAAACAAGCATCGGGAGGGAATACCAAGTATAATTTTGTAGATGTAGCTCACGTTTTGAAGAAGGTAAGCAATTTGAAATTGCTCTTTACTCTTTTAGAAGCCATTTGGTGTCGGGAAAACGTCTGTACGTCTTCTCAGGCGTCGACTTTCACGGTTAGCCAGCTAACGGCTCTAGCCCCCTTGCTAAGGGGAGTTTGTTTCCCTCCCCCAACCCTGAAGTCGAGGAAATGTTGGCGTATTGCTAAAAATATATGCATTTTGTCAGACTGTGCACCTTTATTTATTCCTACGGGTTGTGTAGATCTATAATAATGAAAGTCTGCAATAATTGAAGCTGAGCGTGTGAAGCTGGAGAAATGAAAATGATCCTCGTCAAGTTGTGGTGCTCTCTCTGGGAATCGGATATGGCCAGACGGGCTCAGCTGCCCTGCAGAAATCAGCCACTGGGATGGGCAGCTTAATTATATGCATGTTTCAAGGGCACATATGGGAGGAAATATTGTTGTCTCCACGTTGATTTTATGTGCTGAAGTAGCTGCAGAAATATAATATAATGAACATTTGCGTTGGGTTATCGGCGCACCATTCAGACTGTAAATACTAGATCACTGCAACACTCTCAGTTCTCAGTGTTTTTATGAGATTGATGGCGACATGAAATCAGTTTTGGTTTGGTTTTCATTTCTCATGTTTAACGGAGGAGTTTGTTTCTGGCGAGAAAGAAAAGCTGTTTCATAGTATAGTAGCCTAAAGATTTCACTCTAGATCCATTAAAGGCTGATCCAGTGCTACAATCATTCTATCTTACTAAATTAAGGGTTTCTCAATGCAAACCTGTATCCTTAATGGGGCTAACCATTCTGTATATTAAATGTTTCTTGCTCTTGATTTGGGACAACAGTAAGACCTGAACTTCACTGTTTCTTATGTGGTGTGAGCAGAGGCTCTGAAAACACATTTTGTGAAGGCTGCATGTGGATGTGACCTGTCTACGTGCTTGTTTAGACATTATGTGGTGTGATTGTTTGCTTCATCAAGGAGCTACATTGAAGCAAGACCTTACAATACTTCTTTAAAGGGTGATCTGACGGATAGAGACAGAATCTATGAAAGTTTGTGATGAAGTAAACAGAGCTGGTGTTGGTGCAGTGGAAGAACACTGCGGCGGTGTTGGGGCGTTAGCACACTCTCTCTCTCCCTCTCTTCACATACTCTGCTGCCACTTTACATCCCTCCCTTCCTCACTTTTGTTTATGTCTTCTGAGCACAACTTTTACACCGCAACATTGCAAAATATGCCTTACTGTTTCACCCCATAAGAAAACTCAGTTGACTTATGGCACTTGTAGTCTGTTTACCAGAAGGTGGTTTAACAGCACTAATCAGGATTTAGCTAAAGTATGATCTGTAGGTGTTAGTCTGAGGTTGTCAGGCCTGTTTGTCTACCCAATTCTTGTATTTCGAGAGTCCTGCTCATTGTTTGGCAGAGAGGGGAAATGGACTTTTGGTTGGGGTGTGGGGTCAGGAATGCTGTTACTGGGAGCTTAAGAAAGTTTGTATACTGATCGTTATATTTGTACTGATTGTTTTCTTTGCTCACACACAGCCATCGTGTCTACACCGGACGCGACCGCTGTACAGCGATACCCATTTTAAATACATTTAGTAGCAGAGCTACTTCACGCGATTTTCAGTGCTGGAAATCCGTTTAGCCTTTGTTAAAACTTCCATGTCGTCGTGGAGAGCGCAGGTAACAGTTGCTTAGCAACGGCAGACGCCACGAAAGCACAAGCTCCCAAGCGCTTTGGAAAGAAGGAGAAAGCGGCGCGGCTGGCGTTTTCCACGCGTTTTTAGGTGCGACATGTGAACGTCCCCAAAGTCTGTCTACACTGGATGCGACAAAGCGACCGTTGCAAATCATTTGAACTTCGTGTCAGTACGTCAAAAAGAGAACGTACTGTCGGTTTACTGTCGGGGATTTGTCGTGTCGCGCCGCATCCAGTGTAGACATACAGCCTCGCTGATTATAATAGGTTCATTGTATTTTGGCGCGTCACGCTGGTGCCGTGCCGTGCCGCTCGCATCCGGTGTAGACACGGTGAGAGCCATGCAGATGCACGTGAACACCTGAATTCTGTTCACTTCTGCATCTATTTGTGCCTGAAATACTGTGCTCTGCAAGTATCCTTGTAAACGCAGTTGCTTATGGGTTAGGTGAAGGTAAACAAATGAGAAAGAAAATGGATGTGTAGCAGTATATTGGTTTACAGCAGTTTAGTGTTCCTGTTGCTTTCTCTGTCATGAATGTTAATCAAACAACAAAACACAAAGAAAAATAGCTTTTGTAGCTTTAACACAGATTTATTAGATTGAATTTATAGTGAAAAAAAAAAATATATATATATATACTGACAAAATGGTTGAAAACCGCTGCTCTACATTGCGAGTAAATCACTTGCATATGCGACTAAATCTTCACTCTGGGCGACTAAATTATGTCTAATATTAGCCAATGGCTAATCAATTCTCAGATTTTACTTGCCAGTGTGTGAGTTGGAGGCTGAGTGTATGATTAGCACAGATAGATTTTCACTCACAGAACACTCTGACTGAGCACTTCAGAGTTTCACTCTCCATTAAGCGATCTGTGATATTTTTCAGTTCATTTGAATGGATGTGCAGCGCACCTGTGTTTGTGTATTTGGCGTAACGTAAACTCTAGTGTGAAGGCGCACGTCTCGCTGACGCTTGTTCTCACACGCGCAGAGAGAGAGAGAGAGAGCATGCAGAATTGATGCGCTACATGTAAACGATATACTTGGTTGTATTTTCCTGTAAAAATAACGGAGTTCCTTTGGAATTCTTCAGCTTTTAAGAACTGCCGGGTTTTCCT